ATATATAAATTTATTTCCAAATAAAGCAATTATTCTGATTGCATAAATTAGCAATTCAGCGTATTTATTTTTGACAATAAAAATTAATCAAATCTGTATCTTCAAATCTTTGAGTAAGTGTTATAACTCACGTGCGTTATTCATGTTTGTTCTTAATTTTAAGGAAAATAACGTAAACTGGGAGTTCAAACACTTAAAAATCTTGAAATGTTTGCAACACCGTATTCGAAGCAAAGATATATCTGAAATTTATTCGATGACCTCACAAAACTGTTTCAGGGGCAGAATGCGACGCGCAGGCCGCGAGTTAGCAGCTAACCGAGATTAAAGCCATTTTTAACAGTTTGTGAAAAATCCCTCTGTCGGTTTGAAAATTTTATTAGTTATCTTTTTTATCATAGGTTATGTAGCATGGCCAGTATAGGTTCCTTTAATTGTTATGACTAATTTCATACTGGTACAAGCCTAGTACTCGAGCACGACTTTTATAAATCGTTAAATGCTTATAACTAGTACTAGTAACACAATTCGTAACTTTTAGATACTGAACATACTAGGTAAGAATCGTGAAATTATGTCAACGTCGTCCATTTTTCGACTTATGTAAAGACATTTTTGATAGATTGTAGCGGAAGAGCTCCGGAGTATTTTCAATAACAACTATAGATTCAAACCTTCATGATTCTTAAATATTGAAATTTTAATATCTGCTCTCAATGAATACGTAAGTGCATTACGGCTTGTAATAATGAAAAAATGTAGCACGATGGTGCGTATTTGGTTTCTCGATTTGCATGCTTTGTTTAATGCGTTACGTCAATTTTGGTGATTTATGGCGAGTCTATTTAACATTGAGGTGAATGGCTATCTTGCTAAATTGACAAGATATCGCCAAACTGGCGATGGTTTTGGCCTCATTTTATGTTGTCAAATTTGGCAAGAAATTGCCAAACTTGCTGACCATTTGGTGACATTTGGGTCTGGTCCCTGTACAATTGTTGTTGATACTGCAATTGATCCCTATATGTAACTGTAACCGTATCCGACCTTTATATGTAACTGTAACTATATATGCATTTCAATATTTTCAAGCATTGGAAGGTACTAGGGATTCTCAGTGACCAAAGGAAAACTATATAAGATCGAAGAGAGCATCAATTATCAGTTTTTAGCTCATAGCTGATTTCGAGTGTTGAGAGAGAGATCTCCGTGCGAGCTTCGCTCTTTAGATGCGTTTTCCATTCCTTTGTGTTTAACGTTTTTAGTAGTTTGAAGTGGTATCTACTTATTGTGCTCTGTCATACTGAGAAGAGATGTACGAGTACTTCTGTGGAAAGTTCCAGAACTATAATGTGTTTCTTTTGAGTAAAACATTTCATCAAGCTCTCATCAATTCTGTGAGTATTTAATACATTACGAACTGAAGTAATGCACGTAACAATGTTTTAGATTAAAAATAGTTTCAGCATAAAAATTAGATAGATATGTTTTACATATTTGTAAATAAAATGTATATACGAGTATATACTTGTACATGTAATATATTCAGGAGCAGAAATTTTGATGGCGTAGAAGTGTTGATCCATAATGACTAGGAAATTGGAGGCAAAGACAGATTAAATCTTCAGTTTTATTTTTCATAAATAAGTTGCGGCTACACACAAGTCGGCACATTAAATGTGTCTGTTCCAAAAGGCTTACATTTTTTATAACTTTGCAGCAAGAAAAAAGCAGCAGATAGGCAGCAGTCGAGCTAGGCCAAAGCGTTGAAAAAAGTGCGTAATGTTCAGGATGAAATCTGAAGTCAAACTGAGTTTTAGTTCTCAAAGCATTTTGATTGGATAGTTAATATTGCTGTAAAATTATTATTGGCTGCTTTAGTTCCATTTACATCACCAGAATTACGTAAGAGTCATATGACATAGATTTTTCTCGAAATGACGCAGTGCAAATAGAGGTTGCTATTTTTTTAATACAGAAAGGAAATAATTTACACTGCTAATTTAATCTTTTACATACTCTTTATTTTTCTTTATATATATATATTTTTTTTCAAATAAAAAATAACACAATTAACATACTATGGGTGTTAATAGAAATTAATATAGAATACAGTAAAAGATTAGTAACAGTTACTCATACGGTTTGAAATTTTGATCAAAAATCCAAGAATACTGAAACTATACCCCCAATAGAACCTTAGTATGTTAAGAATGTAATTTTATGTTTTCAATCACAGCGTTTTCAAGGTAAAATTAAAATCTATATGACATTTTTAGAAATATGCATAAGTGACTGCATTAAATTGGAAAATTAAGATTAAAGGGAGCATTGGATTAAAGGGAGAAGACTCTAGTAACCATTTCAAAGAAGTTAATTAGATTACGGTAAAGATTTAAACAAAATTTTCCTTAAAAATATAAAAAGTGGAATTTAATTACTTCAGTACATTAATAAATTGTTTAGTTTTAAACTACAAGGCAAGGGTTCCATGTTATGCTAAAACTATTCTGAAGAAATTTTGACTCACGCCCCTTGCATCATCATCCACAGTTTCTGTCCTGATCAACGGTGACAGTTAACAATCTCATACAAAAGTTGTTTGTCTTTGAACAATTTTCGATGGAGCTAATATGTGGCTAATAAAGAGAACAATTGAAGTTCTCCCAAGTCAGGAAGAACATTTATCCAACTATTTCTGAGTTGTTTTGGACATAATTGGGAGGTTATTGTTCTTCTGAAACAAGTTTCCACTTCCTGCGCCGTCGCACGGTCTCCAGAGGACTTAATTAGTAGCTGTAGCAAGGATATCTGTAAAACATCAAATGATGTTCTAATACATACTACACTATTTTCCTTCATCTTAAACCTTTACTCATAAAAATTTTGAAGAAATTTGTAAGAATTATTCGTAAACGGCAAGTTGAAATTCAAAAACGTATTTCAGTAGGACCGTTTTCAGCTGTAAATGGTTAACCTCTAACTGTTTTTGCAGTTGCTGTTGGAAGAGTCATTCCATTTTCACAGCCATCAAATCAATGCTTCATTATTATTATTACTAGCCCAAAGGAGCATTTATCCCAGAAGGGCTATTAGTCTCAAAACGCGATTTTGCGTTAAATCATTATAAAAGCTTGAATTACTTTTCAAACTGTTGCCACCAAATATAATCGCTCTGTATTATATTTAAAGAAATTAAATAATGAAGAATTTCCATGAATGTATGCACGTATTTCGCATTGTGAAATTACACTTTGAAAAATGTAATTGCCATTACATTTTGAATAACGTAGTCCTCCACATGAGTATGGACACCTGGAAGCCCGAATTTTGAATTTCGAATAGTTTTTATTGAGTATTTCATATTTTGTAAAACTTTAACGAATTTTCGATTATCAAACTAACTGATTTCAAAGCGAGCAATGCATCAATGTCTGGAAGAAAACATTTTTATCCCCAGCGTGCGAGACTCTCTATTGGAAATTCTAAAGATGTGTTGTCTATAAGTATTTTTAGCCTAAATATGAGTTAGCCCAAAGGCTGTCGAAACGTGTATATGGGTGTAAATGCCCCTTTGGCTGTAATATAAAACCTGAAAGCTTTCAGATTTCTTTAAAATTATTATTATTATTATTTAACTTCTTTGCAGATTCTGTCGAAGTTAAAACACATAAATAGTTTTCTGCATCTCACATAAAATGTTAAACTCCTTTTTTTACACCAATTTACCACTCAGACAGATTTATAAAAAGTTCTTTTAGTCTGATAATGGAATAGTATTTTGAAATAGGCCTCTATTTATCAAAGGTTTAGATTCCTTCAATATCTAAGCAACATTTATTACTGCAGGTGTTGATAATTAAAATCAAAATTTAACCTGTTACACGAATCAAACGTTTTTTAGGAACTTAATTGAATTTTACTCGACTGTTGAATACAAAAATGTTCAAAAATGTACTTTTAAAACCCAATTGCATTGTTAAAACTTATATATCTTATGTAAGAGATTCAATGTGTATAGCATGAATGCCTTCATCTAATCAAGTAAATTAACGCTTGGCAATATTTTTAAGATAAATATCACGTAAAATGCAGTTTTGATTAATTTCATGAGTTGCTTTATTTTGTAGGTAAATGTGTAGGTATGTAATGTAATGTAAATATATAGGTATGTATCGGGTCAGTCCATAAGTTCGTGCACATTAAGAGTTGCGTGGAATTCACTCTGACGCATTTACTAAAACAATACAGTTTTGAACCTGTTGAAACTTGTCATCGCTTCAGTAAAATATTATTCAGTTCATCCCCAACTTTCGTAAATATTGAACGTATTTTAGTACCCATAGAAGATGAATATAGATAATCAGTACAAACGTGCTATGCTACATTTTTTATTTTCGTCTGGTGAATCTGCCAGGTTTGCAGCGGTAAATATTAAAAGCGTACATGGTGAACACACTATTAGTGTAAGGACTGCCCAGAAATGGTTTCAAAAATTTAAAGTTGGTAAAAGCAGCATTGATGATTTACCCCGTTCAGGAGGTTTTGAACTGTTAGAACCAAATCAAACGATTAATTCAGATCTTTATAATGAACAACTTTGCAGTCTAAATTCAGAATTGATCAAAGAACGCGCACGATTGGTGAATATCAAGAAAGTGTTGTTTCATCATGATAACGCTAGACCTCATACGGCTCGAACAACGCTGCAAAAAAATGAGTGAATTTAATTAGGAGTTTTTGCAACATCCTGCTTACTCTCCAGATATTGCCCCAAGTGATTTTCACTTATTTCGTGTCTTACAAAATGTTTTACTGGAAAAAAAAATTAAATTCTAAACAGGATATACACAATGAACTTTCAAGTTTTTTTGCATTAAAACCAGAGTTTTTCTACAGCAATGGCATAAAAAAGCTGCCTGTAGGATGGCGAGACATTGTAGATAATGGAGGAAAATATATAATTGATTAAAATGTTAAATTGTGTTTTTTATACTATTTAAAAATTTACCAAAGATGCGCACGAATTTATGGACTGACCCAATAAATACATAGGATATAATAAGCACTGATATTTAAATTCTTGAGTTTTTACTTCCTTTTTGCACAGAAATAATTTCAATATGGCTATATAATCATTATAGACTTACCGAAATTTAGCTTAATCTGAATTTTTATTTTTATTTAAAAATGATTCTGCTTATGCAATAAGAAATGGCATATGCAAGAATCCAAATGTTCAGATAATGACCAGGTGCTACAGGAATTGTTTTTGCATATTAGCCATGACTGCAAAATACGTCCGGCACACAATGGATTTCAGTTTTCCGAATTCACGAGCACCCGGGAATCTTCGTTCGTACGACGTCACGGGCGAAGAGGTTAATCGTGAACGAACGAATATAAAAACCCCACATCATGTAAGGAATCATCGAGATGTCTTTTTATATGACTTTACCTAGTGACAGGTGTCAACAATATTTTTCAGAGAATACTAGCTCTCACTTTATAACCCAGTTGCCCGTACACATGTCTTTGAATGGGGAAGTGGGCAGTTGGTCTTCCCGACATCATTACCATCACTGATGGACTGCTCTGTACGGTTGGAATAAAATGCAGGTAGTTGAGGCATTCAAAACGGGGAAAGTTGTCAATATATTCGTATGAATGCACACCTATAAAAAGAAAGGAAATCATTTTCATATAATAATAATTATAAAAAAATTACCTTTCTCAAGAAGGATTGTATTTCATTGGTAGATTATATGGCGCATAACCTGGAGAGGTTATAAGCACCAGATACATGTTGATAATACACAGACAATTAAGTACAATCACACATTTAAAACAACAGACATATAAAATCAATAGAAGTAATAAAATAATGAATATTGAAATAAAGTTATTCATGATTTATATAAGAATATGAAATGTGAGGCAGGTATAAAATCTTAAAACATGAGACATTAAAATATGTAGCAATAAAAGACTTAGTTAGTCAAATTAGATGATAAAAGCCAGTTTCTCTTAAGTACTGAAATAAATGAGTATTGACCTCTTTTCCGATTATTCGGTCAAGAGACAAGTCAGAATCATTAAAATACAAGTAGTCAATTAAAACGTGACGCACAATCAGAACACTCCCACAGCAAGAACAATTAGGTTCACTCTCGGCCACCAAAAGGTAGCTAGCTATGTTTGATGCGAGTGGGACCATTAGGAAGACGGGTTAAAATTACTTCCTCCCTTCGGTTTCGTACGGAATCTCAATACGCAATTACAGGTTTCACGCTTTGAAGTTTATTGAGGACCTGAGCATCCCACAATAGCTTCCACTTCTCTAGGATTTTTCTCTTGACAACCTTCTTAATTAAGATACAATAACACGCCGAACAAATATTAATTTAGAAGTCAAACAACAAAAATCAGCGTTATATTTTCAAATTTTCACAGTAGTAGTTTCGATGGTTTTACCGAACCATTAGCCTCAGATGCAAAAGCGCAAATTAATTGCATGGCGTGAATTCAACATTTCGTAATTCACGCCATCAAAACTTGGGCAAGACCCTTTCCCAAGTAGAAGTTCCATTTTCTTTCAGGAATGGGTACGCGTGAGATAGAACTGGTCTTTTTCCAGATTCAAAACGGAGCTTCTTTTTTAGCATTAAGGAACTGAAGGCTATAAAAAATATGAGGTTTTCCAGAGAGACGCTGTGAATTTTTCCAAAATGTTTAGTATACAGGTCATGATCTTCCCTATGATCTTGATGAAGCCTTGCATGCTCAAGCGGGCATTGTAACCCCGGCGATTGTGAAAAACTACAGGGATGTAGTTGTCATGTTGGAAATTCAATTATTATGAGCTGATCTTCCATACTGACCTCTAAGATAATTATTCACCAAACAGAAAGACGTACAATGGAATCATACCAAGATTTATACTATGGTTTTTGCTTCCGCAGAAAATAAGTAAAAACCTTAATTTATCACCTTTCCGCGATTATCCACAAATATAGCAGTGAAGGGCTACTTCATACATGACCTTGGTCTTCTTCAGTGAAGATCATTGGTTAGTTTGTCTTAAGTAGTTAGCTGTAGTCTCTTTCTCACCAATGAGAGTAGCTAAGAAATGATCCACAACTTCTCTTCTCCTTTAGATAACAGGAAGTTTATGTAAATACACCATTGGGTCCTGTAATAGTGCAAAAATAATCGGATGGTATACAGTTGGCAAAACGAGTGTCTGAGGATCTTAAGAGATCTGGCAAACAGTTGGAATGTTTTTAAAATGTATTCGAAGTCTGCGTGGATGATGTAAAGGAGCGGAAGCTGAAATTGGGGATTGTGAAATTTCAAACATTTATCTTTAGATATTCTGATATTTTGAGGTCTGTTCCATTGACAATTTTTATATGAGCATCCTTTTCCATGAATTGATGTAAACAACACTCACAATGAAATTTTCTTATCGATTTTTTGTGAGGCCCGCAAGAATACGAGACATGTTTAAGACGAGACATGAAAAAGACAATAATTTATCTTCTCTTCATCAGAAATTAATAGAAAGTTGACATGATGGCCATCTGAACAGGAAAAGTATCATTAAATTCTCGAACTTGAGAGGAAAAATCATGCGTTTTGAAGCAGTAGATAAAACAAGTACAAAATAACCATTAAATTACCCAAACCAGCTTAGATTAGAAATGGGCCGTTGACGAGAGAGCAGCATTTCGGGTGCACTGCCAAATTCTCCCCCTTCCCCATTTGCATCTCGCTCGCTATTTAAAAAGCAACTAATTTACATTTTCTGGTGAAACTGACGAAAAGAAAAGAAGTACAGAAAAAATTAAAATAAAAATTACGAATTAATTAAAACAAACCTTACAAATTGCCCAATGCTTTTAGCAGAATGGAATTCAAAGAAAATTTGAATATTATTTTCGAAGACAACAACGAAGACTGACATGACAACAGCAAAGTCAAAACAGTATATATGCGTAAAAAACCTGATGTCTAGATCACATGTCTAGATCATCTTATTTTCTTATTTTACTTATTTTCTTGTACGGAATATTAAATTTTACGAATTTTTCTTGTATTTCATTTAAACTTGTTGGATTGAATTAAATCTACTTCTCCGATAGCGCATAAACCACAATAGAATAAATACACTCGTTAAAATTCACTATATTTGTTTACTATACGACACTCTAACGCTACGTTCATTTAACAGCGTTACATTTCATTCATATTATAACTCAGAATGCACAAAATTTTTATCATTTGAAGAATTATCTAATATTTGCCACATGTTCTATTCAAATATTGTAATAAATCTAGAACGATGTATAAAAGAAATTAAGCAAACAAAACAAAAAAGAAACAGTTTTTCACAGACGATTCAGTATTTCTCATTCAATTAATTCAGTTCTTACTTCGCGACAACGCAAAAATACATAAAAACGTAAAATATCTGTATTAAAAATTATGAAGTAAATCTTAAACACTTATTTCCTCGAAAAAATTCCAGAGCGGACTAAGCATTCGCAACAATAAATGAAGGCGTTATCTTTGTTGTTGCGAAGCTTAGTCTCTCTGGATTGGCAACAAATCTGCTATTCAGCTGTTTCAAATGTAAACAAACATGTCCGCCGTGTTATTTAAACATTAGGCTTAACCGCACTTAAACAGCTTTTAAATTGTTGATAATTGTACAAATATTGATTGCAGATTTTCTAAAGGCATTAAAAATCTTAACCGAAAGTTAAGAACAGCATAATTGAATCATTTTTAAAGCAAAAAATGCACAATTTACAAACATATAAGAGATGCCACGAAAATTTCTTTTCATAATTTCCTTTTAAAACAGTTTTATAATTCTTTAGAGGAGAAGAGTCTTTTATTCTGTCCTTACGTACAGATATCACGTAAAAACATCGTTAAATTGCATTCGATATAGGTCAAAAGGGATATTATCGTTGAAATATGCTGCCTGAAACTTTTCGCGATTACAATACTTCCTTTTTTTACTTCGTACAAGGAAGTGAAAAGGAACAAGCTGTATACATACCCCATGTATGAACAAACTATATACATAAAGAAGGAAAATATTTTCTATAATTAATTGATTATACTTAAAATGGCAAATGACTCCTTTACATAAATTTTAAAATGAAGGTTTCTTTTCAAATGCTCATATGTTATTTTTCAAATTCCTACACAAATTTAAAAAAAAAGTTCCAATGATGGGCTGTAGCCTTTTTATAGGCGTTGGCCACTACGGAGGCTGAAAGAGGTAGGCTGTTTATTGGAATGGCATCTGATAGGTGGGCCGTCGCCTCCTACGAAGGGAACAGACGAATTACATCCATGCCTTCTCCGAGATTCTAACACGGGTCCTTCGGTACGGTAGTCAGAATCACTAACACATCTGAGCGGCTGTTATACAGTTATAATGAGGACAAAAAAAGTAACCCCAATTTAGCAAACATTGTGAATAAAACTCTACCATTTTCAAGCAATCAGAAACAGAGACATTTTTTTTTCCGGAGTGCCGGCCAGTTATTCTCATTCCCATTCTCAATTACCATTTAATCTTGAAAGACCAAAAACACCTTTGGTAAAAAGTTACGTAATAAAAAGTTAATTCTGCTAAAAATTACTCTTCATTGATTTTTTAATGCATAATATGATAATCTTGGAAAAGTAATAAGTTATTTTCCAAGTAATATATACGGAAATATTACGTACGGAAGTCAAGTAATATGTATTTCTCGAGCACAAATTCATAGATAATCACCAGAGAAATTATATTCTCATTTCATTTTGTCTTTGTTTCGTACTTTCGAGTAAAATTGTAAAAGATATACTATGTATGCGTAAGCTTAAATCTAAGTAAAATTTAAACATGAGTTATTTTACAAACGGGGTAGGAAATGAAACTCCAATTTAACTCTACCCAAGATTTACACGTTTGCTCTCAGTTCGATGCATATTAAATATTCAGAACCGAAGAAACGTGCTGGAATTACGTTCTCAAAATTAATGAATTCTTTAATAAAATATTTAAGCAAGTGCACTGAAAGTCTTGCAGATTTCACTGGGGAAATTAGCTAGAGCAAAAATCGATTAGTGTTAAAGAAGATAAGTTTCAAGCATTTGGACAAAGACAAAATGAAAATCGTGCCAGCCTTCGTAATATTTGAACGAAGAAAAATCAAATTATGAAGCACCAAACCTACGAACCGAGTTCTGCGAAATTATCTAATCTATTTTTTTTTTGTCTTATACACATGTGTATGGTTTACAGTTTTTTGTTTAATAATTTATGCATACGTGTTTTTCATCTTTTATTTCATCTTATTTTCAAAAAGTATTGCATAAAGATACAACTTCAAGACAAAGTCTGACAACACATTTGATACAAAAGTAATATTCCTTGCTAAAATTTATCAAAGTAATGTACTCTGAATGTGAAAGAAATTTTAAAATTATAATGCCTACCTAGCTTAATTTAAAGCCTCTAGATTAATTCCTACTACAAATTGTTTCCCTTTTTTTTTTTTTTTTTTTTTTTTTTTGTGCACCACTGACTGGACAACTATTTTCCTCCGGCATTTACTTCGGTACATTAAAAGAATTATAATAATAGTTTGCAGATGCAGTTGCGCTTAAT